GTTGAAGGGACGACGACGTTTCGGTCCGTCCTGGACCATTGTCAAGTCGATTGTGAATCCTGTCTCCAACTATTGGCCAAGGTAGACACACGTTAAGTGTGTTTAAATTACTAATCAAGCTGTCAATGTAATCAATCAGAGCTTTAATATAACAATGTGCTTTAATATACCTACTTATCTCTCTCATCTCATTTTTCTCTTGTAATGTATCTTTATCATTTATCAATTCTGATTGAAATTACCTACTTAAAATTATCTGCTAGATTAAGGACCTGCCCGAAACGCTGCGCGTACTAGTGGCTTTACAAGAATGTAAATACTGTACTATCCAATGTATTCTCACAAACCCAATGTACCTTCTTGTATATATATAAATAAAATAAAATAAAACGTTCAGGAGGATTCGTCTCTAAGCTTTACCCATCCTGGCCAGGATGTTCAGTACATCCAAACATTAAATTCCAGAGAGATGCCGTCAGCAGTATTGTTATTTATATGTTCACAAGGTTTCTTACTTGGCATAGCCTTGTGGACAATCGGAGGCCAGGAGCTACAGCATGAGCTAACAGCCTCATGTTAGCTGTGCCATTTACAAGAACATCACTCCACCTGCGATCATGAATTCCTAGACCGACTCACTTTTGGAGTATGTTGTGTGAATATTAGACTCACGTGAAGTTAAGTCAGTCGATTATATGAAGGCTCTGGTACACACCTCCAGCTTGACTTTGTACCTAATATGATTGTAACATTAAGAAAAAAATTAATTTAATTTAATGTTAAAAAAGATACTCTTTTTAAATAGTTGTCTAAAGATTTGTGGTGAGCTGATGTAACATAACACATCTCAATATACAATATTAATTTATCATAGAAGTTACTTGTATTGCAACGTTGTCATGGTTGTAGAAGACAGTGAGTTGGAGGAGGAGGTAGAGGGAGTGAGAGCCACACACGCATAGTAACAGGGAGAAAATGTAATAGGAAAATAGATGTGATGATACAAGGATGAAGGGAAGGGGCATAGCGGATCGTGGGTTGAAAGGCTTAGACTTGCAGAGTCCTTCTAGCAAATGGTGAGTCTGTTCACGCACCCTTGAGCACGCTCAGCACCCTTGAGCGTGCTCAGCACCCTTGAACGTGCTCAGCACCATAGCTAATCACCATAGGTAGTGGGGCACCTCGCTGAAACAGCTACCCAGTGAAACATGCGGCAACAATACAGAGGCTTGGTGGCAAGAACGCTGACAGCTCTCCTTGTTCACTGACACTGAAGTAATTCTCTTCTCCATTTTTAACTCGGCACTTTGATAATTACTCGTTAATGTCTTAGCGTGAGGACTGTGAGGTAATTTAACGCTTTAACTGGTACGGGCAACAGGCCGAGGAAGGGGTCCCAAGAAGACTTGAACCTGGCAGCCTCTTTATTATGATAGAAGTGAATGTTTAAACAAAATATCAAGGCTTACAGATACATTTTTATTTTTGTACTTGAATCGTACTCCTTCAATATACAGACATGATACAATACACAGGAGTCACCAGATGTAAGCCTTCCTCCCCCTACAATGCCCCCAAACGCCCCACACACACCCGTCCCAGTTCGGGACACAGACTGGATAAAAATCCATCTTCCTTACCTGTCAATCCCTGAGCTCTCCCTTCCCTGGGCCTGTGAAGTCTTCAACATTCCATTTGGACTTCAAACCTGCGGTTTATGACTCCTCAGAAGGCGATTAACAGACCAATCCTTGGGACTATCAGAGGTCCGCTAAGTGCTGCGAGTCTGTGGTGTGGGTGTAGAGGGCTTCCCTCTACTGTTGTGCCTTCAACACGCTCAGTACGGCTGTGTTATGTGGGTCTAGGGACAGCATGCCCCTCTTCCCTCTAATCCCACACCCTAGAGAGAGAGAGAGCCGAGAGAGAGAGCCGAGAGAGAGAAAGAGCCGAGAGAGAGAGAGAGAAATCTGGTCGACCCCGGCACTACTGGGTACCCTATGTAAGTAGTACAAGAGATATACTTTATGATATTCCTCTGGTGTTTGTGAGGTTCACACGGTGTAGCGGGTGTTGTGCCGTCTGGCGGGTGTTGCTGTACACCCTGGGTGTTAACTGGACTCCAACGGTCACACTGTATAGGGAAACTGTTCATCATGGTTCCAGAAGTGTTGAAGCAACACCCAGATGAAGACCTGCTACAGGTGTAGACCCATAGCTGTGTAATATACCACACCCAGCTGTGTTGCTAAGGCTAACCTCCCTCCCCTCACTACACACTCACACCTCACACCTCACAACATTCACACACACCTCACAACACACACCAGCGTGTGTTGTGTGTGTGTATCAAAGAGCCAGAGCTCAACCCCCGCAAACACAACTAGGTGAGTACAAACTCCTCACAATACACACACCCTCTCCCTCACAGAAACCACAACCAACCAACCCATAAGCCGAGTACCGACAAAACACTGTTATATTAATGCAATAGCCTAGTTACCGTTCCTTTATTTGCATACGTAGCCAGAGATCTCATATTACCATAGTCTGCCATGGCCAATAATACACAAAGCACGGGATCGCATTAGTACGCTCTCCTTTGACAAATACAAACAATAATCAAAAAATAAAAATAAAACATAAAAATAAAAATAAAAATAAAACATAAAAATAAAACATAAAAATAAAAATAAAACAATAAAAAATAATACAATAATCGCCAAACAACATTTAACTGATAATAATCACACACAAATAAATACGGAACACCTTTACAAAAATAACGTAATATTTTGTTATCATTTTTATCTTTTTTGGCATTTCCGGCAAAATGGAAAGAGTATATTGAATACTAACACATGTAAACCCTTTTAGTATAATTGTTGCGCGATTCGCTTCTGTTTTTTTTATGAGGCGGGAGTAAAAATGTACGATTACACACGCTCTAGTTAACTGTTGAACCAAGGTAACTGGTTCTCTAACGCTAGTTAACCGTTGGCCAATATATAACTGGTTCACAAAGACGATGAAAATGTTCAAATGTTCCGATACAAAGTAGGGAGTGAACACGCGATCGTCTTGGTCGACAAGTTCGTAGGTCTTCGAACTAATCTATTTTCAACGACCATTTCTGAAAAGTATTAAATTGAAATAACTGAGCAGAAAGTAAAGATGTTGCAAGATACTGCACCGTAATTTGCAGCTAAAGGCGCCGATGATATTACGGAGCATGGCACTCGCTATATTTGTACTGTACTACGGACAGTGAGTATACACTGTATCACATTGATACAGTGTACACTTATTGCGGTCTCGTCACAGTTGTCTTGAGTGTAGAGTGGAAATGTCAGCGCCATCTATGAGTCTGCACTCAAACTCCCTTGATATTTGACGCTACGTGGACAACGATATCTATTGGTGGTGGCGTGACGGTTATCTTGAGATGATTTCGGGGCTTTTAGTGTCCCCGCGGCCCGGTCCTCGACCAGGCCTCCACCCCCCAGGAACCAGCCCGTGACAGCTGACTAACACCCAGGTACCTATTTTACTGCTAGGTAACAGGGGCATAGGGTGAAAGAAACTCTGCCCATTGTTTCTCGCCGGCGCCTGGGATCGAACCCAGGACCACAGGATCACAAGTCCCGCGTGCTGTCCGCTCGGCCGACCTTCTCCCTACAGCGGACAAATGGCTCTGGTTTCCTGCCTTCATCAGAATGTGCGGTCGACGTGGATGACCTCTGGTGAGGTGGGGGGATCAAGATCAGCGCCACCTAGGTTGTGCTACGAGCATAATGTCAACTCCCCAGTGAGTGTTACCTCCTGGTTTCCCCAGTCTACCGTCCTGTTAACTGATGACGTTTCATGTCCACAGAGGTGATGTATGGAGGCCGTCGTACTGAAGATGGCAGATTACCTTGGGCAGTCCACGTTCTCTCTACTTGGTCCTGGAAGACGACTAAATAAGCCGCTGCTGATTACGTAGTGTTGGAAGAGATCGGCGTACCCCGGGATTGGCTTAGAGTAACGGACGACAGTGAGGTGCTTGTTATGAAGTGCTGCTAGCCGGTCGCTAGAGACTTCTGCCAGGGCTTCGCTACCCCTGTAATGGTTGTTTTGTGACCCCGATCAGCGTGTGGCTGAGGTCCTCTGCTGGCGAGTGGCCGGAAAGTGATGGTGGGGGTGTAGGCACCTCGTGATACTGTGTCGGTGGGCTGGCCCACGTAAAAGGTGAACTCGCCAGTGTTTCCCAGTACGAGTTGACAAGGTACTGAGTGGTGGACACGCTGGGGTTGGTGAACAGTGCATGTGAGCACTTCTGGTGTCCTGAGTGAGACACCACTGTAAATAAGTGTAGAAATACTTTTTGAATATATTTTATCGGTTAAGGTAAATACATTGGTGAAGGGAATAATGTTCTGTCCATCCCCCCCCCCTTATTTATTCATTGCATTATATAGCGAAATTTTGAAAGCGTACTACAGACTTGGGGGTCGGATACTACAAAGAAGGATCATGCATAAAAACCCCGATTACTGGTCCATAGTTCCAGAAGGTGTTCACCCCGGACCTGACGTTCTGCTGGTGTTGTCACCCCGGACCTGACGTTCTGCTGGTGTTGTCACCCCGGACCTGACGTTCTGCTGGTGTTGTCACCCCGGACCTGACGTTCTGCTGGTGTTGTCACCCCGGACCTGACGTTCTGCTGGTGTTGTCACCCCGGACCTGACGTTCTGCTGGTGTTGTCACCCCGGACCTGACGTTCTGCTGGTGTTGTCACCCCGGACCTGACGTTCTGCTGGTGTTGTCACCCCGGACCTAACATAATATTCTCTTTCCTGTATAATATTTCAGTGTTACTGAATATTATACATGTTATATTTTCTGCATAATATTTCAGTATGGTTATTCCCCAACCACGACGGTCTCGCTTCATGCAGGTCGGCGTTCAATCCCCCGACCATCCAAGTGGTTGGGCACCATTCCTTGAAATGAGAGTGTAATGGTTGTTGTTGTTGCAGGTGTGGTGTGACCAGACGACCAATGGTGGCGGATGGACGGTGTTGCTCTCCAGAATGGAGCTCAACCCCCAGCTCGACTTCGACAAGAACTGGGCCGACTACAAGATGAGCTTCGGTGATCCCTCTTCCGAGTTCTGGATCGGTGAGTCTTCTGTAATGTCCCCCGGAGCGAGGTGCTGCAGGAGAGAGGTGCTACATTTTGATGAATAAACCAATTGACGTTCTGCTTCTATTGAAGAAAACGAAATCATTATTTTAGAAAGATGTATTTTATAAATACATGAAGTTTAAACACTTTTTAGAATGTATAAGATAATGTAGACTATAAATTATATTTTCAGTTACCCCAAAAAGATAAACGCCGACGTTAATACTTTGAATTTCAGCAAGACGGCCCCTTAAATTTTTTGTTTGTATTAATACATGGGGGAACATGTGCATTGATGCCGCTTCGCCGGACTGTATGGATAGTCCCGAGGTAACCAAGTGAGTCCAAAACATGTTGACCAGACCACACACTAGAAGTTGGAGGGACGACGACGTTTCGGTCCGTCCTGGACCATTCTAAAGTCGAATGTCTAAAACATCCCCCATTCGACAGATTAGTCGTGTGATCAGTAGCTACACTGGCACATTGTGCTCGCATTATGAGGAGATGAGTAAGTGCACGAGGGAGGGAGAGAGAGAGAGAGAGAGAGAGACAGAGAGACAGAGAGAGAGAGAGAAAATGGAGCAACAATAATACTAACACATTTCATTCTCTTACTGTCCTGCTTACAACTCTACGGGAAATGAGAGTAGAATTTCATTCACTTGTAATATCATTTTTTTAGCGACTTGATTTTAGCGACACAGTCGATTGAGAATGGTCCAGGACGGACCGAAACGTCGTCGTCCCTTCACCTTCTAGTGTGTGGTCTGGTCAACATCATTTTTAGCGTTGGGTGACCAGCCTCTCACCCACGCCCGGTACATTGGTACATTAACAGGTACATTGTAGGGAAATTGGCCGAAGATTAGTAGGTACATTATAGAAAATTCGAAGAATATCAACTGATGCATTGTAGCATAATTTAAAGATTATTTCTAGGTATAATGTAGTAAAATATGAGTTCGATATAACAACCATGATATAAGATGATAGTAATGATTGCAATGGTGAAGTTGAATGGCTTAGGCACATATATTAGGGGAGTGGATAGCACAAGATACAGTGCGAGTTTAAGGCACTAGGTAGGAAACTATGAAGATGAAATTAGGTACTTTTTGGTTTTACTTTCTAATAAGGCGTAGGTTTGACAGCTTTTTAATTTGCTAGGGAGCGAGTTCCATAGGCCAGGTCCCTTTATTTGCATAGTGTTTACACAGATTTAGATTATGATTAGATTTACTGTGATTTTGTTAGTGTCGAGCTGTTGCGAAAGACGAGATCTTCCCGCTATAAATTCGTGTCGACTTGGATTGTGGCGTTCATTATTCTTCATAAAACTGGAGATTTGATTCCTAATCATTCTTTCAAAAACTATTATATGTGATGTTAGAACAACTGTCCCGTTTTCTGTTTTGGGTCCTCTGGTAGGTTAGGAGACACTAACCAAGAAACTTTAATACGACGGTTTCTTGACATTGAGAAAACCTGAGGAGGACGGGCTGCTCACCCACGACTACCCAGCACGGGGAGACCAGCTTCTCAACCACGACTCTCTTGGTCAACCTATTCTCAAACTTGAAATGGGCGAGAAACCGAGCTTGCTTGAACGCTGAAACTTGGACAACTAATCTGAACATCTAGTGGCCATTCTTGGTAACCAGAACTGACACTGTGGGATGAACCGGCCTCTCTCCCCCGACCCCCTTAATGGAACAGAATGTGAATGCCCATCAATTGGTCCCAGCTTAAAAAAAAGGCTGTGTACTCGGCCCTCTGTTGTGGAATGGCTGTTTTAACGAGTCACTACACCACCTTCCTGAAGCTAAGGTCCACGCTGACGCCTGAACTCATGCCTTTACATATGAACAACAGGAAATAGAAAAGTGCCAAGAGACTTAATGACCATATTTACTTGGGAGGAAGGCGACGGCAGATCATCTTAACGGCTGAGACAGCACAGGAAATGATGGCAATAAGACAGTATGATATTGTACTTCAGACTTGGTGCCTTCTATTGATAATTACTTGCACCTCAGACAGGCTGGTAAGTTGTGACAAAAACCCAATAGTCAGTGATGAAGCTGACATACTCGGGCTCAAGTCTGACTCTTCAGTAACCACGAAAAGCCAAATCTTTCACCTGGGAAGGGCATTATCAGGGGGGGAAAAGCGGCAAGCCATTACGACTATATAGCCCTTGGAAGTGGTCAGGATAAGGATTTGGGATGGGACGAGAGGGAAGGAATAGTGCCCAACTACTTGGGCGGTCAGGGATTGAACGCCGACCTGCATGAAGAACCTAGCAAGCAAGGCAACCCGTGACACTTACGGCGCATCTCGTACCGTCTTGACAGCAGCGGTTGTAAAACTTTGTGAAGCGCAGGTTCGCTCCCCATCTTATGTACGGCTCTAATGGTATGCTTGTAGTGGTGAGAGAGGTACCATGAGGCGAGGAGTGAGAGAGGTACCATGAGGCGAGGAGTAAGAGAGGTACCATGAAGCGAGGAGTGAGAGAGAGGACTCATCCTGGACGGGTACGGGGCAGGCAATCCAAGATGCTCATTGCAATAAAATTTACACTGTGGAACAGGTTACCAAGTCACATATATAATAAGACTTAGTCACTTATTTCAAGCGTAAGTCAGGTATGTGAATAAGTTTAAGTAGGCCTAAGTAGCCTCCTCAGCTGTCGTATGAGCCTACTGCGGTTTCCTCAATTCTTATGTTCTAAATTATTTTACCTGCGCGTCTCGCCCGGGGCCCTGGGAAGACAGGGGGAGGAGGGGGGGGGTGTTGCAAGCATGACAACGAAGCTATGATGGCTGGTGTCCCGCATGTTCTCCTTCACGCGTATCTTGGGCACAAGTGTGGTACACTGGGAGTGTCGTGGGGTACACTGTGAGTGTCGTGGGGTACACTGTGAGTGTCGTGGGGTACACTGTGAGTGTCGTGGGGTACACTGGGAGTGTTGTGGGGTACACTGGGAGTGTTGTGGGGTACACTGGGAGTGTCGTGGGGTACACTGGGAGTGTCGTGGGGTACACTGGGAGTGTTGTGGGGTACACTGGGAGTGTTGTGGGGTACACTGGGAGTGTTGTGGGTACACTGGGAGTGTTGTGGGTACACTGGGAGTGTTGTGGGTACACTGGGAGTGTTGTGGGGTACACTGGGAGTGTTGTGGGGTACACTGGGAGTGTTGTGGGGTACACTGGGAGTGTTGTGGGGTACACTGGGAGTGTTGTGTGGTACACTGGGAGTGTCGTGGGGTACACTGGGAGTGTCGTGGGGTACACTGGGAGTGTTGTGGGGTACACTGTGAGTGTCGTGGGGTACACTGTGAGTGTCGTGGGGTACACTGTGAGTGTCGTGGGGTACACTGGGAGTGTTGTGGGGTACACTGGGAGTGTTGTGGGGTACACTGGGAGTGTTGTGGGGTACACTGTGAGTGTCGTGGGGTACACTGGGAGTGTTGTGGGGTACACTGGGAGTGTTGTGGGTACACTGGGAGTGTTGTGGGGTACACTGGGAGTGTTGTGGGGTACACTGGGAGTGTTGTGGGGTACACTGGGAGTGTTGTGGGTACACTGGGAGTGTTGTGGGGTACACTGGGAGTGTTGTGGGTTACACTGGGAGTGTTGTGGGTACACTGGGAGTGTTGTGGGGTACACTGGGAGTGTTGTGGGGTACACTGGGAGTGTTGTGGGGTACACTGTGAGTGTGGTGGGGTACACTGGGAGTGTTGTGGGGTACACTGGGAGTGTTGTGGGGTACACTGGGAGTGTTGTGGGTACACTGGGAGTGTTGTGGGGTACACTGGGAGTGTTGTGGGTTACACTGGGAGTGTTGTGGGGTTACACTGGGAGTGTTGTGGGGTACACTAGTAGTGTTGTGGGGTACACTGGGAGTGTCGTGGGGTACACTGGGAGTGTCGTGGGGTACACTGGGAGTGTTGTGGGGTACACTGTGAGTGTTGTGGGGTACACTGGGAGTGTTGTGGGTACACTGGGAGTGTTGTGGGTACACTGGGAGTGTTGTGGGGTACACTGGGAGTGTTGTGGGGTACACTGGGAGTGTTGTGGGGTACACTGGGAGTGTTGTGGGGTACACTGTGAGTGTTGTGGGGTACACTGTGAGTGTTGTGGGGTACACTGTGAGTGTTGTGGGGTACACTGTGAGTGTTGTGGGGTACACTGTGAGTGTTGTGGGGTACACTGTGAGTGTTGTGGGGTACACTGTGAGTGTTGTGGGGTACACTGTGAGTGTTGTGGGGTACACTGTGAGTGTTGTGGGGTACACTGTGAGTGTTGTGGGGTACACTGTGAGTGTTGTGGGGTACACTGTGAGTGTTGTGGGGTACACTGTGAGTGTTGTGGGGTACACTGGGTGTGTCGTGGGGTACACTGGGTGTGTCGTGGGGTACACTGGGTGTGTTGTGGGGTACACTGGGTGTGTTGTGGGGTACACTGGGAGTGTCGTGGGTACACTGTGAGTGTTGTGGGTACACTGGGAGTGTTGTGGGGTACACTGGGAGTGTCGTGGGTACACTGTGAGTGTTGTGGGGTACACTGGGAGTGTTGTGGGGTACACTGGGAGTGTTGTGGGGTACACTGTGAGTGTTGTGGGGTACACTGTGAGTGTTGTGGGGTACACTGTGAGTGTTGTGGGGTACACTGTGAGTGTTGTGGGGTACACTGTGAGTGTTGTGGGGTACACTGTGAGTGTTGTGGGGTACACTGTGAGTGTTGTGGGGTACACTGTGAGTGTTGTGGGGTACACTGTGAGTGTTGTGGGGTACACTGGGAGTGTTGTGGGGTACACTGTGAGTGTTGTGGGGTACACTGGGAGTGTTGTGGGGTACACTGTGAGTGTTGTGGGGTACACTGTGAGTGTTGTGGGGTACACTGGGAGTGTTGTGGGGTACACTGGGTGTGTCGTGGGGTACACTGGGTGTGTCGTGGGGTTACACTGGGAGTGTTGTGGGGTACACTGGG